TAGAATTGTAGCCATGGAATGCTTATGGGGTGATGTGTGACATTATGGTTTCGGACTCTATCAATGATCCTAAGGTCACCACTTCACATACTGTGGCTGACCCAGGCGGGAAGTCATCTTTGGGCCCTTCGTCCCAAATGATCCTCACTGATTATATCCAGGAGCTGCTATGACATTTGAAATGTACTGTGTGCAGCTGGCACAGGAGATACAGTCATCATATCCACTGTTATATCCAGCTTTTCTTTTATACCAGTTAGAAGGCAGTGGCACAAAGCTGAAGCATGTGGGCTGTGATATTTTATTTCAAAGAATAGCCTACAAAGATTTTGTATCTTTAGAAAGGAATATGAATCACAGACTGATGTGAGTGTATAACACAAAAACCAGTTCCCTTTGTACATGCAGCTCCATCAGTCTAGAAGAGTTTATACGAACTCTATAGGCTTACTACAACAGTGAGGTCAAGCACTCTGACCTGTGATTGGAGATGACCACCTCCCCAGTTTTACTGGAGTAACTGAATGCTGCATTTTTAATTTTTTTTTTTTTTTTAAACATGATTGCTCTGGTGTCACAGAAAAAAGCACTTCGGAGCTAGCAGAAAGATCTGCTAATGGCAGCAGTGGAAGAGGACTGGAATATTAATAAATGATACACTACAGGACAAATCATATACGCATTATGGAATATGTATGCCTTAAGATAAAAAAGTGTATAATATGTTATAGACTTATTTATATGTATGTTATTTTTGTATAGAATTCAGTTCAAAATCACAATTCAATTGGAATTAAATGAGGTTTGCTAAAAAAAATATTGGCTGCACTGTGATTTTTACTTCAAGCCTCAGACTGACTGGCAGGAAATTGAAAGACTCATTTACTTCCCCTATTGGATACCATGGATATTTTTTGATGAAATAGCATTTCAGTATTTTGGTTCATTTTGGAGAATGGTTTAGCTGTGCAAAATGAATACTGTGAAATACATATTTTTTTCCCCCCAAATGGTGGGTACATCACATTGTACATTAAAGTTTCTGAGGAAGCATTAACAGTGCTTAAGTTTCAGGCGATGCAACACTAAGTAAATGTTCATTAATCATTATTATTTTCTTAAAACAGAAATGACAAATAAAGCAACTATTCTCACCCTATTGCTGGTCCACAGCCACACTTGCTTTGCTCTGAATTGTATGGTGGGAATATTTGGCACATTTCACCACATATTTAGCAGATGCTTTTACCTAAAATGACACACAAGGGAGGGAAGGCTGCCAGCAACACTGGGGCAGCTGGGGAAGTAGCTCTGCTCAAGGGTCCAGGTCTGGTATGATTGCTCTTCCTACTGCAGAATTTGAGCCCATGAACTTCTAGATCAGAGCACAGATCCCAAGCCAGCTGAGCTGGACATCATCCAAGGTGCTCACTTCTCCTCCATCCCCATCAGGAAGCCCTGAAGATACAAGCATGAGCATTACTGTGATACATTCCTTCCAGTAGCTCACATCTCATACTACACACTGCTGGTCAGATGCTGGACACTGGAGGCAAAGTACCTGAACAGGCTATTGCGGATGCCAGTGCAGTGACCTGGGGCCTCATGTATAAACGGTGCTTACGCAC